CCCCAAAACCCCAAAACCCCAAAACCCCAAAACCCCATATTTGCCTTACGGCATTGAATAAAGTAAGTATAATTCAAAAACTATTACCTTAACCATGATTTACTACACCATGAAGGAGAGACGCCCACAGTCTGTACAGACTGAAAGACCTCCTGATTACTGTTGAAAATTAGAAATCAAATTCTAAGTCAAGATCTTTCTTAGATTCTAACTCAGATTTCGTTGGTGTGTTCAAAACCAGTACTTTGTCTGCTTCTTTCTTCTGAGGAGTCTGAAATTTCTCACTACTGAAGTTACTTTCTTCAGGAATTTTCTCTGGTATTCTTTCCAGCCTTCCATTATCTTCTTGAGTTTGCGTCTGCATTAAATCAGGACTCTGAGTCAGACAGGCCAAATTTGGTTCTCTAGATTCTTTTGAATAGATTTTCTCAAAAGAATTAGAGAATCAATTTGACTTAATTTCTGACTCAGCCTTTTGGAAATTCTCCGAAGCTCTTGAGACAAGCTCAAGAGCTCCATAAGTCTTTTTCTTAGTTTGTCTCTTACTACTGGTCTTCCTATTTCCTTTCTTAATAGCCATTTTAGTCTTCTGTTGAGTGTTGCTTGACAAGAAGGAATTTGAGCCACCGGTTTTCCTTGCAAATCCCTTACTCTTCCTCTTAGTTTGAATATCTTTCTCTCTCATCTGGAAGGGAGAGTATTTGTTGATTTTACTCTTGTCCTGCTTCTTGTGGAAGTTGAGAGTGCTTCCTATACTTTGGCTTGCACTTGCTAAAAATAATTGTCAAAATTAGTCATTAACTTTTGATTTCAAAAAACCGAATTTATATTTTAAATTTTCCTTCATACCAAAATGCTGTTAGAAATTAAGAATTCAAGAAAACAGGGCAAAACCGTCTCTATTTTACTGGAAATTCATGAAGCATCATTAATAAATAATAAAACCGCAAAAATCAAAGAAATAATGCGCATTTAGTTACCTCTAGCTCTGTTTTCCTTGGACGGGAGAGTAATCATCGGCTCTATAGCTCCCATACTTAGGAAGTTGGGACTATCGGTTCCTCCAATGCTTGCATCGGAGACAAAGGTTTTGTTGGATCTTCTCCTTCTAATATTTCTGATCATTTCTTCTGGATCCTGCGAGAAGACTTTTCCTTGATTCATTTCATTTCTTTTTCTTTTCATTCCCAACTGTTTCGCTGTAGCTTCAGCAATCTTATCTAAGACTGTGTCTAGTATTTTTCAGTTAGGACCATTCCCAATGATACTCTTCGCTCATTTCAGTGATGGGAGGTTGACATCCTTCTCTAGTTCAGAGATTTTTAGGGATTCTTCTTCACTAGAGAACAGCAAAGAATATAGAAGATTTAGAAGCTGTATATATTGCATACTTTGGCTCTTGTTGTTTTGATCGTCTTCTCTCATCTCAACAAGAACTACTACCTTGTTATACAGTGCATCTAACTCTCTTCTCTTCTTCTGTAGTTCTTTGATCTTCGTAGTTGCTCACTGTTCAGGTCCATACGAGAGAAAATACATCAATTTTATTCCAAAGTGTAGCACCTGAATGTCTAGTTTATTGTAATTATTGTCACTACAGAAGGTTCTGAGTCATTTCAAGTCCATGCAGATCAAGTTTGGGAAGTACTCGTTGAAAGCGTTCCTTAGGTACACTCCGTATTTAGTTGCTTCTATTTTACAGTGCTTCAGTAATTCAAGATATGGGGCATATCTTTCATTGATGAATTTCCAAACAATCTCACTAAAAACTTCAGTATTTCTGCTTAATACTAAAGGCTTGGAGTCTGAATTCTCATCCTTCATTGGAGAGTCGGTAATGCTGTGCGTCTTGGACTCGCTGCATGTGTGATCGAGGTCAGCCTTGGTCTTGTCATCAACTTTCCAGCCTATGTAATAAAGTTATAAATTTTGAACAAAAAGCTAAGTGGGATGTCTTACCAGTAGTTCTTCAGTCGAGTCCCTCTTCACTGTGATTGATTTCGGATTCATGCCTTGGAGCTTTATGCTGAGGAGACATTAATTTATTGAATAATTCATCTCTGATAATAGCTTTACTAGTTGTTTCAAAGGTGTTCTCACACATAAATGGGAGAAATTGTCTAATACTGTAAGACGTAATGCTTGATATGGCTTCCATTATTGTTATTTTACTAATATAAAGACTTCTTATTATCCCGCCTTGGGTTTTGGAATATTTAATTATTAAGAAATCCTATTTTCATTCTCAAATTTAAAAAACGGGGTTTTGGGGTTTTGGGGTTTTGGGGTTTTGGGG